GGATTTGGGAAGAATTGTTTTTTTTTTTTTTTTTTTTTGTAAATTTCGGATTTAGACCTCAAATTCGAGTCAGATTTCGAAACTAATTACATAATCGGGCTCGGGGTGAATGGGTAAATGGGTTTTGGTCCGAATCTCGAGTTTTGACCAAGCGGGTCCGAGGCTGACTTTTGTTGACTTTTGGGGAAAAGTGTAAATATCTTAATTTTATGTATTGTAATTTAATTCCCTAGCATTATTTGATGTTATTGAGTCGAATTTGGTTAGATTCGATTGGTTTGGAGGCGGATTTTAGAGGAAAGGCCCCGGTAGAGCTTTGATTTGCTTACGAAGAGAGGTAAGTGTTGGGTTTAACCTTGATTTGAGGGAATTAGGAACCCTTGAGTTATGTGCTATGTGAAATTCATGTGTAGCGGCGTATATGCGAGGTGACGAGTGTATATACGCTGCCAAAATACTCGTTTCCCTGCTTTCCGTATTTCATTAATTGTTGCATTCCATGTCTTAACTGTTACATGCTTTAAATGCTTCCCTCCCTTTATTGTTACTTGTCAATTATTATTCTAGTGTTAAAAATGATAGATTCTCCCATGCTCCCATGATTGACTATTACTTACCTTAATTGACGTACTTGCGCCTTTTAATTGTCATTTACTTGACTTGTCTTAATGCTTAATATTAATTATAGTAAATTTGCAATTTGACACGAGACTTCCTTCCTGGTTCTGCTCCATATTCGTTAATCGTAGAGATTCTTGTGATTTGAGTTGTTAAATTACTTGCACACATGGATTTATTTACATTGATATGGTGTGATCGAGTTGTGCGCCGCAACAAGTGAAATAAGGGTGGATTGATTTGGTGAAATAAGGGTGAATTTATATTGATATGGTGGGATCGGATTGCGTACCGCAACAGGTGAAATAAGGGTGGATTGATATGATGAAATAAAGGTGATTACGATATTGATTCTGACTATATGTTGGGATCGGATTGCGCGCCGCAACATATATTTACTTATTATTATTGATATACTAGATGAGTTAACGATTTTGATTCTAATGCAGCTTTACTTTACATTGCAACTAAGAAACAAGAATATTTCATGAGATGTACAGTTAAAATTGTGCCATGCGAAAAGAACAAAGACAAGATTAGACATAAAAACCCCACGATGGCAAATATGTACATCGGCTGATATCTCCAAATTGTGAAAAAGTCACCTTCGATCTTATGGTATCTTGAAAAATCACTCAACATGGGTGTGTTAGCCATGAACTTAATTAAAGAAAATATCGCCTTCAATCACCTCTTGTGCAATTGTATGTAGCCAAGGCAATATGTTTCACTCTATAAACTTCCAGAGTCCACTTTTTCCCCTTCTACGTTTATACCTGCTGAAATTAACTCCCTTCTCTTTCTGCTAATGCGGCTTGTGGGTAGGAAAGTGCTAACATTTTCTGTTTCACCATGTATAACTACAACTTATGCCTGCACCCTTGACTCGACATGTATGTATTGCAAACTGACATGATCTTTATGATATATCTCCTCTCTCTACAACTTTCAAACTCAAGAGTCAAGAAGAAACATAATGAAAATACTGGCTTCAATCAGAGCCCTGAACAAGTTCCACCAAGGTAATTGTGAACCTGCCAATTTTGAAAGATTGAAACTTCAAGAGAAGGGGATTATGTAGGATATGTTATATTTACAGGAAACTTTTGTCCTAAAAAATGATTCAAAATTACTTAGCAGAAAGATATACTCTTTACATCAAAGCAATATACAAAAGTAGAATTTAGTATAAATTTCAAAACAATATAAAGTGACGAAACACTTATGGAATAAGAAAAATGTGACATTATAAACAGATTGCTTTACGCTGGAGCATCAATACCTTTTTATGTTAAGAAAGCTAAATATGTGAAGCAAGAAATTTTGATCCATTCTTATATATACCAAACATCATTAGGTAAACATAAAATTATCAAAAGGACTAAGCCTCACAAAGAGCCTTTTTGATCAAAGAAAGATATGTTTGCAGATATAAATATACATTCTTTTAGCACAAACAAAATACCACATTGCAATAGGTACTCTAATAGTTGGAGTAAAAGTGGACTATATATATATATATATATATATATATATATATATATAGTACACATATGAGATGGTTTTATCCTGTGTACTGAGTTGATGCCGTATTATTGCTTTGAAAATTCATTTACTGACTGAGAAAAGAAAGATCCGTATGTTCCTTTGACATTATTAATCTTCTCTTTCCAAAATACTATTTTTCCTGTTCCATTCATTCATTTAATTTCTTTGTACTTGCTTACGTTTTTGGACCAAAAAGATAGTAATCATGCGAGAAGAAGGTAGATGAGAAGAGAATAAGATAGTTGAAGAAGGATTGAAGAAGCTTGATACCCATACTCCACCTTATAATGGTAATGGATACTGAGTTTGGGTCGTTTTCTTCCTTTCTGTCTTTTTATTTTTCCAATGGCCCATTAGAGGCTTCTCTTCCTTTTCGTTTAATCTCCTTGGAATTTTTAAATATCTTAATTTATCAATTTTCTTGAAATAGTGATATGAATAAATTGGTTGAAAAAATAAAGAATAGAATTCAAGAAGCAAAAGAGCTTTATGTAATAGCTTGCAATTGATCTTTCACCTTCTTTCCAGGCTTCTAGCTCAGAATTGGATGACATTCGATTCAAAACTATAAATGCAGAACTGAACTTTAAAATCAAGGAGAAAGAAGAAAATGAGATAAAATAGTAAGACTCACCAATCAGAAGTGGTAGAACACCATAAATCTCTAAGCGAGGGTAGCGGCAAAGAACTGCAACAATAGCCCAGTCCCAGGAGCAACTATATTGCCATAGAGGGAAAAGCGTGTATTAAAGGATAAAAAAATGTGTATCTCCATAGCGTCCTACTCTAACTGGAGGGGGAAAAAGAAGCACAGAGATGCTAAAACCCAGGCAAAGTGGAAGACGATGAATGGAAAAGCTCTAGAAGATTTTAGAGCCACAAAGAAAGCAAAATAGAGGAGGGGTACGTGGCAATTCTGCTTAGGGTAAAAGACGGAACCCCGTAAAAGACACCGCATACTAACTAAAGTAAAGATTAGAAAAGTTCAATATGCCCTTAGTCGACCATCTTAGCTTTTCTATGTATACCTATCTTCGTAGCAAACAAAGATTCTAATCTTCAACTAAGATTGTTCGCTATTAACCACATGATCTAACTGAAAAAGAAATGGAGAAGCAACTCACTAAATATTTGTGAAGCATGTTCCCCGGAAAGGGACAATGTTGTGTTAAGTTCACCACCAACAGATGTCACACACATGCCTAAAATGCAACACAAACCAACATAACCGGAAGCACATATTAATATTCTATCTTCTGAGAATTAAGCTCTTGGGTTCCTATATCTTTTTTCATAATTGAAAGCCACTATATCAGTGTAATTCTTCCGTGGAACAATGATCAATGATCTAATTATATTAATAAACCGTGTACTTCTAAATGAGTTTGGAGAAATATTAAGAAAGTAGTAGGAGGGTCTTCATCTTCACTATAAAGATGATCCACCAGAATTTAGTAAAAAGGAACTTCTTTTTACAACAATCCAGTAAAAAGAAAATTGGAATAGAAATCCAATAAGCTTCTGGATGTTTTTTATCACTAAAGCAGAAGAAACAAAAAAAGGGAGCAATGCACAAGCATTCCCTGAACAGACGGCGAAAGGCAAAGAAAAAAGGTAATTTGCATTACTGTAAAATTCCATCTAAGCACAATCTACTCGTGTTAATTTATCCGTAAGAATTGATCTGAAATATAGAATCAATACTATTCCAAATTCCTCGAATTAGAGCACTATGCCAAATATATGATTATAATATTGAGAAATTTCAAGTAAAACAACCTCAAAGACATTCAAGAAGCAGGTATACTAAAATAAAGAATCCTCTAAAAAGAATATTACCTCTGTACATATCATAAAATATGTTCCTAGAGGTTGAACATTTAAAGAGCAGCAAATACATGGAAAAAGAGCACCATTGTTGTCGGCGAAGAACTCCAAGTTATGCTCTAAGCTCTTCTACTCACGCCTAACTCTCCAACAAAAAAGGTCAAATCAGACAGGAAAATAAATTCCTCATACAGATTAACCGGAAAAAAAAGAACAAGATTTGGACAAAAATTAAAAGAGGAGGTGACGTGAAAATTACAATACCCGATTGAGAAGATGAAGAGAACTGGAAAGGGCATTATCTGAGAAGTCTGGAGAACTTGAACAAACAAGGAAATAAAAGAAGGTGAAGCAATTGATCTTCCTACAGGTTTGAAAGAAAATCATACTTCCTCAGTTTTAATTCCGTTTTAATAATTTGTGGTCCCGAACAAGTAAAAAGTAAAGTATTTGTGTGGTTATAAAAGCTTCTCATTAGGATAGAATTGTAAGTTTAAGCTAAATTGTTTCTAAATTATTTCCAAATTTAGAAATAAATTATTCTTTTTAAATCGAACCAAAAAAAAATAAGTTCACAGCGGACGGAGAACGGAGGGAGTACAGCAATTGGAATAGGGACGGAAGAAGGGAGGTGAAAGAGTTATGTTTTTTCTAGAATTGTGTCGAGTGATACTTGGAAAAAGCAACCTGGACCATTATACCCTTTATTTTATTGTTATTAAATGATAATTATACCCTTGACCAACTTGGCTCTTCAATATAGATAATATATTGTGGGCGTTTGGACATAAGAATTGTAAAATTTTAAAATGGTTGAAATTTCTTTTCTAAGTGAACTTTAGTTCAGAATTTATTTTATTTATTTTAGTTTTTTTATTATTATTTAATTTAAACTGTTAAAAATAAATAAATTATTCTAACGTTGGTTTGCCTAACTAGTGAAATGTTAGGCATCATTCCAGATTTGGGATTTCCGGATGGTGACAAGGCAAAACGTGAAAATCAAGTTGGAAAAGGTGAAAAGTTGTAAAGCATGTAGCAGCGTCGGGCTTAAGGTGCAAAATGATCGATTTTTAATTGATGTGACACTATTGTTTTGCTAGTTTGTCCCCAAAAAATGATCCAGTCTAAATTAATAAATAGTTTTAACTTAACTTTTATTTTATTAATAATAAATTTTTTTATAGTTATACAAATATTATAATATATTAACACAAGTTTCAAAAATTTTATAAACACACAAATGCTATGACATATTTTAACACTATACTATTTCTTAAATTCTGTATCTACTCAAATAGTTTCGAATAAATTAAAATAGAGCAAATACTTTTTATCACTTTTCTCATAATGGGAATTTTTTTTTATCCACAAATATTATGATATATTATCACAAGTTTCAAAACTTTCATAAACGCATTAATACTCCAATAGTCTTTTCTAAACTTATTTCATATAAATTAAAATGGCAGGAGTACTTTTTTTTACTTTACTATATTGACATATTTAATATCCCTTCTTTCTTTTCTGTTCTTTCGTCCTTTTTAAAGATAAAGAAGTGCACTTTTCAATTTACCGGTATATCTTCATAGGGAAAACGAACAAGAAGAAAAATAGTATTTGACCTGTTAAAATTAACCACTTTTTGATTCCTTTCTAGTCGACGAGATTCGCCACTTCAAAATTCTCCAAAAACCTCAGAGTTCTGATTTCTTGTTTCCGGCGACTGCTCCGCCGCCTGCTCTCTTTTCCCGGTAATGCTCCCGCCGTAAAATTCTCCTCTCATTTACTGCTAAATTCATTATTATGTCTTTATATGTTTTTTAGATCATAAACAGTTCAGTAAACATTGAGGAAGCTTACGATCAGTTTAATTTCTTTAACCTTTTTCAGTAGAAGTTGGAACTGCGACATTTTCAGTAGAAGCTAATGTACCAGTTGGTTCAGTTAATATTGTTGATCAGTTAATTTTTTTTTTTTTTTTTTTTTTTTTTTTCGATGGTGGTGTCGGACTAGCTTGCGCGGACCTCGACTATTTCACCGGATATGTGCTCCTCATGCCACCACAGGTACCGGATAACTCTATCCACCAAAACCTAGGGTGGGAAGAAATTACATAGTATTTTTCGTTTCCACTTGGATTTGAACCTGAGACCTCGTGGTTCTTCTCTCTCTTCATTGACTACTTGGCCACAGCCTTGGATGCGAAACTGCAGCTTTTTTGTAACAATCTATGAGTAGCTACACAACTCATTCCATCTGTCCATCATGTAACAATTAAGCAAACTCAACAAAATTCAAACAGAAATACCTGCCATAACCGCCACAATCACATAGTGAGCTGCTACTCTACAAACCCGATGGTAGAAAGTAAACCATATAACTATAACTCTTCCGGGTGATACACCCATATGATGCCTTGATTTGTATAAGCAAATCTGACCCGCCGTGAATACACATCATTTACGGTCCTACCAGTAGACACCTAAACTGATTCCACATTGTTCTGACGTAGTAATAAGCCTTCCACAAGCCAACAAAGACCCATTCTAACTCTCACTTATAAACACACAACTGCGAACATATATATGCAAACCCGTTTCAACCCAGTCACCAACTACACCACTTGTGATCAGCTAGATCAGCTAAAACCTCGGGAAACCTAATGCATTGAATATACGAATCCTTAAATCTCTATAGTTTTTACTTAACTTGTCCATTATCCCGATACACAAGAATAATGCCAACAACCTCTTAAACCATACTCCTCAAATCAAGATCTCCGAGAAGGATATATTACTACACCTAAGCAGATCATAACATACCAAATACTATAATCCACAAGCTCGAACAAGCACAAATCTTCTCAAGTCACCCACCGAAGATGCCTACAACCAACTTTCTGACTATTGACCATTACAAAAGTAATAGTCTCACCTCTAGAAATCCAATCTCTAAACTCCAAAAGTTCAAGATTCCTCATCCTAATGAACATGCCTACTCAAACACAACTCTGAAGTCACGCCTGCCAGCATCTCCAAAACCCCCATCTCCACAGATCCTTCCATGCCAGGCAGCTAAAATCTGAACCTCAATGACTAACCATCACATAATTGCTGTAATGCTTAGTCGAATTATCCATAGACCCCATGTGTAAGCATCCTCTACAACACATTCCCTTTCTTGGTGATACTGAAATCTGTACTACTATGCCCCTTAAGCAACTCAAATCATCTGCGCTAACTCAGAGTTGTTTAATTTTAATCCCTTTTTTTTGTATCATGTTTATGGTTTTTAATGAGCTAATGTAGCAGCTGGTTCAGTTAATATTGTTGATCAGTTAACTTTTTCTTTTTTTTTGTAGTTGGAACTGCAACTTTTTTTCTTGCGCGGACCACGACTATTCCACTGGATATCTGCTCCTCCCACCACCATAGGTACGGATAACGTTGCCCATTAAGGCTTAGGATGTGAAGAAATCACCTAGTGTTTTTTGTTTCCGCTTGGATTTGAACATGACACCTCATGATTCTTCTCTCTCTTCATTGATCACTAAGTTTGTTAGTGATTAGTGTCGAATGCTACAATTTTATATTCTTCCATTTTATATGTATGCATAAAAGCTGATAAGGTAGTCCTTATGTGTGTGTTCGAGCCTGTTTGAAGATTCTCTAGATAATTTAATTTAAATACAGTAAAATGTTCTACAATTTGTTTTAATTGTTTATTTATTCATTTTGCCTATGACTACATTGATAGGTTTTCACAAGCTAGTGGTATAGTTGGTTCAGTTAAAGAAGTGACTCCGTCCGTCGGATGAGAAGTGAGAGATGAAGAAAGTCAAGAGAAAGCTTGGGAAGTATGAGCTTGGCAGAACTATTGGCGAAGGTGCTTTTTCCAAAGTTAAGTCCGCGCAGAACACCGAGACTGGCGAGAATGTTGCCATCAAAGTCTTGGCGAAAAGCACCATTCTCAAGAACAAAATGGTCGAGCAGGTATTGCTATATACTTTCTTTCCTTATATTAGGTCTAAGTTTGAGTTTATTGCCTTTAAAGATCAGAATTTGAGAAAGCAAAGTTTTTTCAGAATTGACAAATTAATCTTTTCAAAGCCAAGTTTAGATTCATGAATCTACTTTGTCAATCTTGAGTTAACTGCTTGATGATGTGATATATATATGCTCCTACTTGTGTGATAATGTGGAGCAGTAGTGATGATTTAGTCCACAACTATACTACTAAGTTGACACTTAACATTATAGAAGTAGTACAAGCTTCATTGCCGTGATGTGGGAATGTGCTTAGCATCCTTACTAACTCCACTTGCTGAGCTTTATTTATGTTTGTGGGTAGTATCCATCTATCTTGAATAATAGTGGTCAAACGGCAGTAACCCTGTCTCCCAGGAAGTGGATGGATCCTAAGTCTGTGCTTTAAATGTTTGACTAACTTGAGGTACTTAAGAAGTAAATCATTTGCTGTATCATTTTCTTTTTGACTATCTATGTTTCGTTAAAGATGATTATCTGGCTATGAGGACTTAAGATCTTGGAGTTTTTCTCCTCGTTCTTCATATTTTGCCTCTTTTTCAGGTCAATCTCTTGACTTCTTTGGTCTGGTTTTGCAGATCAAAAGAGAGATATCTATAATGAAAATTGTCAGACATCCTTGCATAGTTCGGCTTCACGAGGTAAAATAATTCGAGAAGCCTAGCATGAGTACAACTCTTTCTCTATCTCTCCCTTTCCCCATCTGTCTGTAGTATGTTAAATTAGTAGCTTCATTTTCTTAATCTTTCTATTGAGATGTTTATTGCTTTTGCATATTCATTTATAGGTTTTAGCTAGTCGGACAAAAATATATATCATTATGGAGTTTGTCACTGGAGGAGAGCTTTTCGACAAAATTGTAAGATATTTCCAGCATTTTTTATATATATTGACTGAATATTTACTCCTGGCTTGGTGTTAGTTATTCTTAGTGTTTAGCAATATTATAACTTGGTAATTTTTTGTTGGATAATGCTTCATGATCTATAAGTAAATGCTATTTTCGAATCTAGATTGATGTAGATTTTGGGAGTTAATCAAATCAACTGAGTGAATCCTAATCTGTATGTACAAAGTAAAGATTCGGGGATTATCTTCCTAAGAGAAAATAATAGAGGCACGGATCCATTATCATGATCTTCATAAAAGCTATTTGACAAGCTACCCATATATAGATCTTTCTTCTGTGTTAGCATGCATACTTGCGCTTCTGTTTTTTCAATAAAAGGTCCCAGGATCCTTTCTCTAACAACTAATAGTTTTTGAGATTGTGATACGTTTTCTATTGTTAAGCCAAAAGGTTCATCTTCAAGAGTTTATACTAGCTTTATCTTACCACTCTAATTTTAGTCTTTGGTTAATGGGTGGAAATGATCAATTTGTTAACAATAGTTTAGCTTTATTTCCGTCTTTCAGAGAGTTCAAGGATGTTTTCTAGCTAGTCAAAGTCCAACGATTGAATTTTTTTTTCATCTAATCCGGATAGTTGATATGTAATACCTCAGATATCCTAGTTCTAAACATTAGTACACAATGATGGATGCAAGGAGTACCAAATAGATCTATACTGTTGGGTACATGCTGATTCTTAGAGTAGCTAGTCAGTCTTCCTTTAGGTGTTTCCATTTTCACCAACTCTGGTACAGCTCATGGACCTTTGAACCTTTTCTTTCTTATCCGTCTTCTTCCAATGTTGATTATTAAGAAGTGATTATTTATCTTTATCATGCCTCTGCCTTTCATGATAGTTTTGCTGGATTTGTAGGTTCATCAAGTTAGGCTCCCTGAAAAAGAGGCTAGACGATACTTCCAGCAACTCATAGATGCCGTTGCTCACTGTCATAGTAAGGGTGTATATCATCGGGATCTGAAGGTCGGCAATTGCTATATGGGGAATTTGTTGTGGGGATATCCATTTTTAGCATTAACCATTAACATTTGATGTTCTTCCTTGTTCTGTAGCCTGAAAATCTTCTTCTTGATTGTCAAGGTAACTTGAAAGTTTCCGATTTTGGACTTAGCGCATTGCCTCAACAAGTAAGTAGAATCTCATTTTTTAGTTGCATTAGATTGGCAGAGCATACTATTGTTTTCTTGATTTTCCTTGCGAAAATGAAAGCTTCTAAAACGGCATTTTATCGTAATTTCAATCAGGGAGTTGACCTCCTTCATACCACTTGTGGGACTCCAAATTACATTGCACCTGAGGTACGATGTTTATCTATTTTGAATTCTTTAAATCCTTTGTGACAGTTTGCTGAGTGTTGCTTCCTATTTGGGATACCCAAAAGATGATTCCTCATTTAATTGGCCTGCTAGCCTCAATAATACTCTTCTCATCTCAAATTATTTAAATTTTAAATTGATTGGTTATTTTCATGCTAAATTTACTACTGAGTAGATATGTGATGTCATTCCAGCTTTAATGATGCCATGCTATAATGCTGTCATCATGTATTGCTTTAACCTTAAGTTTGAGAATAGTATGCTTGCTGAACAAATATTTTCAGCTTCCTTATGAGAAAGTGGCGGGATTTGTTAGCATAGTTTCCTATGTACTTTATGCTTTTCACATTCTTTTAGTCCTTTACTGAAACCTAGTCAGTCTGTCAATGCTTACGACAGCCTTGCTCGTGTTTGCCAACTGAGAATCCATATCAGCTTCATTCCTTCTCAATGTCATAGGGGTCATCTGTGGGATGTATATTTCTTTGTAGGAATACTTATACTTACAGACTGTTTGGCCAAAAGTGTTTTTTTTGCAAAAATTGAGGAGTTTGGCCAAGCTTTTAGATGGAAAAAAGTGCTTTTGAGGAGAAGCAGAAAAAGTAGCTTCTCTTCAAAAGCACTTTTCTGAGAAGCACTTTTGAGAAAAATACACTTAGAAGCAATTTTCAAAAGCTTGGCCAAACACTAATTATTACTCAATAGTACTTTTCAAATTAATTAGCCAAACACAAAAAGCTTCTCACCAAAAGTACTTTTTTGAAAAGTACTTTTGAGAGAAGCACTTATCAAAATAAGCTGATTTTAGAAGTTTGGCCAAACAAGTTATTAGTTTCCGTGCTGTCTATCTCTAGGAATGCACAATTTCTCTTCTTTGTAGAAATTAAGTCTTTCTCACTCCTCTCAACTCTATATATACTATGGATGTGTGTATATACAAATCTTCAATCAATTCTAATGAGTACCATTGACATGTGTTCTGTCTACAAGGAGCTTGAATTACGGTGAAGCCAAGAAGAGCGTTCATATCATTCATTTTACTTTGTCCCGGCACTTATTTACCTCTCATGGCTAATCAACTTTCATTTGTTTGTAGCTTTTGAGAAGAAGAAAAGGCTTCTTATATTTCTATGTGTTTACATCCCATGAGCAAAGGAATTTATACAAAGCTCCTAATGCTAATTAAGGAAATAAAATAAATCTATATAATCAATCCAACTATCAAATCAAATAAAATCAGATCTCCTAAATATAATCAAATCTCATGAAATCATGCTAATCAACAATCTCCTAAATCAAATCTCCTTGAATCATGTTAATTAACACTCCCCCTCAACTTGGTGCAAAGACGTCGTACATGCCCAACTTGCAACTCAAAGTATGAAAAGTTAGCTTGTTGAGACTTTTGGTAAACACATCAGCTAGCTGTTTTTCTGATGGCAAATAAAACAAACTTAAGATACCAGTTATAACTTTTTTTTTATGAAGTGTCGATCAATTTACACATGCTTTGTTCGGTCATGATGGACTGGATTATGAGCTATACTGATGGCAGCCTTATTGTTACAGTACAAGGAAAGTTTTCCTTTTTCGGACATTGTCAATTCCCGGAGTAGCTTTTGTAGCCAAAGCAGTTCGTAAACACCCTAGGCTATAGCTCTATATTCTGTCTCCGCACTTGATCTAGCAACTAAACTTTGCTTCTTGCTTCTCCAAGTAACCAAGTTTCCTCCTACGGGCGTATAATAACCGGATGTAGATCTTCTGTCATCTAGAGATTCAGCCCAATCCGCGTCTGTAAAGGCTTCTATTTGGATGTGATCATGTTTGGAGAAAAGTAGACCTTTCCCTGGAGCAGACTTCAGATACCGCAAAATGTGAAAGACAACTTGCATATGAGGATCTCGGGGATCATGCATGAACTGACTTACCAGGATAACTGAATAGGCTATATCCGGTCTAGTGTGGGAGAGATAAATGAGTCTTCCAACCAACCTTTGATATCTCTCCTTATCAACTCACTCTCCAACTCCGCTTTGTAATATGTGATTGCTTTCAATGGGCGATTCTGCGGGTCTTCAACCTGTCATACTAGTTTCTTTCAAGAGATCCAGAATATACTTCCTTTGAGAAATAAAGATTCCTCTTTTTGATCTATCAACCTCAATTCCCAAGAAGTACTGCAATTTTTCTAGATCCTTGATCTCAAATTCATGTGGCAACAACTTCTTCAATCGAGCCATCTCCTCTTTGTCATCTCCTGTCATTACTATGTCATCAACATAAATTATGAGAAGAGTGAGTTTACCCATTTGATGTCTTATGAAAAGAGTGATCAACGTTGCTTTATTGGTAACTATGGTTGTCCAGCGGGACGGGTCGGCCCGACCCATCCCGGTCCCAGCCTAGCCCACTAAATATTAAACGGGACATGGGATGGGACGGGCTGCCCATTTTGTCCCGGTGGGCCGGCCCCTTAAGGTCCCGTCCCGTCCTGCCAGCCCGCATGATTTTTTCTTTTTTTAAAAAGAGTCGTTGGCAACGGCTGTAAACGGCCATTTTTGGCCCTTAACCCCTCCCCCCCCAAACTTTTAATTTAACCCCGAAGTTTATTAAATTATACTTTGGCCTTATTTTAACTATAAATATCCCCATCCTTATTCTTTTTTTTTTGGCCTTATTTTAACTATAAATATCCCCATCCTTATTCTTTTTTTTTTTCACAAAAATCAATCATTCTCTCTCAAATCTCTTACATTCTATCTTTATTCTTTTATCAATTTTCTCATAATTAACTACATTTCAAGTATTTGGGCAAATTTTTTGAGTAACTTTCAAGCTTCAAATTATTTCGTCAAGTATTTGGAGCAATTCTTTGGGCAATTTCTTCAAGTTTCAATATTTAATCATTGTGCACTCGTTCCATCTCCTAATTTTAATATTTAATTTTTGCATATCATTTTAGTGCTTAATTTTTGTGTTTACTTTACGTGTTTTATTTTCATGTTTCATTTGTGTGTTTAATTATTTTGTTAACTTTTCTAATTTATTTTCGTATTTAAATTATGGCTCCTAAAAGAGTATTTGGCATAACCAACCCATTTAAAAAAAGTAGTAAAGGTGCTAGTTGTAGTAATCCTTCTCCTAGAATTAGAAAACATATAGATGAAATGATTCATGTTGATGCAACTTCATTTACCCAACCCCCGGTATTTTATAATATTAATTCGGGAGAACAACTAGATCATGAAACTTTACAAAGACAATTTGGTAATGATATTTTTAATGAGAAAGAAGAAAATGAGGAAGAAGAATTAGATGAAACATCCACTAGTCCAGCAACACAAGTTCAAACTCAGAGTCAATCTCGGTCTGGAGTTTTATCCCCGTACCTCCTGTAAGGGGTAATGCTAAGGTTGGACGTACGAAAACATCACTTGTATGGATGGAATTGTTTTGAACATAATAAAGTCAATTTAGTTGCTACCTGTGTAAAATGTAAAACACGATTTGCACATGAAAAATCCGGTGGGACGGGGGGTTTAACCAGACACTTACTTAAAACACACAAACCTTTATGGATACAAGCTCAAATAGATGCCGGAAAAATATCGGATCCTAGCAGCGGTACTGGCACTCCTATTGGATTTGGCGGGGTTCTAACTTTGTCCGACAATAGTTTTACCTTACTTCTGGTACTATATTACATCCCTATAACAAAGATAGAGATCGTGAAAATTTAGTAAAAATGGTTGTTGTTTGTGGCTTACCTTTTACTTTTCCTTCTCACCCTGCTTTTGTGCATTATATACAAGAAACTTATAGTCCTACTTTTCAAGGTTTTCCTAAGACCACAATTAGAAATGATGTTTTTAAATTTCAAACTGAATATCTTCAGTATATTCGTTGTGTATTTTTTCACTTAGTTTGTAAAGTGCCTATCACATCTGATATAGGTCGTAGTCCTAATGATAATGATTATTTAATGTTACATGTTATTGGGTTGTTCATCACTAGAACATGCAAAAACGTATTATTGGTTATAAATTTGTTGATTCAAAACACACTGGAGCATATATTGTAACTATTGTTCTAGAAATACCTGAATTTATGGGCTCAATGATAAAGTTTTAACTATCACATTAGATAATGCTTCTGCTAACATCATTGTAGCAAATGGCTTAAAAGCTAAAATTTGCCCAATTAATCCAGAAATTTTCCATGTTAGATGTGCATGTCATATTTTTAACTTGGTTGTAAAAGATGGTATTAATTAATTTCTTGATGCTTGTGGTAAAGTACAACATGTTTGCGGCTATATTTTTCGTGCTAATAAAGCGAGTAGAATTCGTGAGTTTAAAGAACGATGTGCATATGCTACTAAGAGGCCTAGTTCAAACAGAACCCTTCCTAGAAGGTGGCTGCGTAGATTAAGTGTTCTTCAAAAGACTTGTATTTGTATGTGAAATTTGAAACTTCAATTAATAAAATAAAAGGCTTTAGCCTTGAATTTTTTTATGAATTGTTTTACTTAGTTATTTTATAGCTTGAGATTATATTAAATAAATTACAAGTCTATTATAATTAATAAACTATTTCGTTACAAGTCTTTTGGTTTAATATTTATAATTCTTTACTTAGTTTTTTTATAATTTATTAAGTTTTAAGTTTATTAAAAAAGTCAAAAAACTAGCCGTTGCAAACTTTAAAAACTTAGTCATTGTCAACTTTTAAAAAAAAAAGACAAAATGGCCTCCGGGCCACTTAAACTTGTACCTATTTGTCAGCCCGGTAGATAAACTTATAAGTTTCTCATTTGAACACTTGTACTTGACGGAATGAGTACTAATAAACACCTCCAGCTGAACGTGTTCCTCAACCGCTATGACCCAACTGGCACATCATATTCTTAACCTATTATTGTTTGACATGTGTAATTTGTAGGTCCCAATCTCTTTTTACCAATTTATTAAAGAAAAATT